ATGAGTTGGCACTTTAGAGATTATCAAGATGACTCTCCAATTTCAAAGTGTCGTCTTAAAAATCTCAAAAATCACAAGTGCCACCTCATTGCCACGTCATATTTCAAAATATCTTATGTGGCACTCTAAATATTAGAGGTGGAGTTTACCATCGAAGATGCTCTAAGCCACATACACTTGGTTGGAGAAAAGTGTTTACACAGTACGTGGGCAGTTTTGATTTTATTTGTAATACAAAGATTATTATCGTCCAATAAAAGTCACTTTTAAAATATGGTTTTCATTTTTTTTTGTCATCCCCATAAACAGTAGTTAAATCATTAGTTCCGATTCATAGGTGGCGATCACAAAAATGTAAGTAAAAGTAAAAGTTGGTGATTGTGAGTAAAATTATTTATTATCGGGAAAAATACAGTTTTTGTCTCTCATGTTTGCACTGATTTTACATTTGGTTCTCATGTTCATAAAAAACACATTTGGTCATTTATGTTGCAAAACTTCAACACTTTTAGTCATTTTCATCAATTTACCGTTAAAACTAACAGAAACAAGCATGTGTCCATCACTGTCTAACTAACGGACTAACGGTAAATTGACGAAAATGACCAAAAATGTTAAATTATTGGAATATGCGGGACCAAATGTGTTTTTTTGTGAACATGGGGAACCGAATTTGAAATCGATATAAACTTGAAGTATGAAAACTATAATTTCCCCATTTATAATCAATTCTAAAAAAGCTTTTGCAAACACCAATTCGAACATCAATACCTTATGGGCGAGGGCACACCGGATAAATTGACTTGATTAAAGCCTAGTTGTGGCCCTAAGAAACAGTGGACAAAGAATTGTATTCCAACTATATATATGTGATCACCATTTGATCCGATGATGACCTTCATTCGATACTATCACTTTACGTAATTTCAACTTTCAAGAAAGTGTGGTTCGATTTTAAATCAATAATTTATAATGGCTAACTATGTCTGACATGTAAGCTCGACCTAGTGATTGTCGGCAAAGTTTAAATCTGGGTCAACTAATTACTGACACGTGTTCACTTGCTCCAACTGCTAAATCATCCTCTGCGGAAAAAAGAAAAAGTAAAAGTAAATTGTGTGTGTTTGTTTGGATAGTTTCATAATACATATAGTAGATTATAAATCACATTACAACTTCGTTTTTATTCCAAGTTATTATGAACAGTATAGTAGAATGATAAATATCTTAAATAGTGTCATTTGAGAATTATCTTTTAAATCATCTGGTCAAGTGAAAATAATTTTATGCAAATAAAATCTCATTTTCGTAACCTCGACTCAAAAATTAAAAAAAATTTATAGAATTTGCAAGGAAATAATGTTCATCTTCGATATCAATAATGCATATGGCCTCAACCGGTTGAAACTGTATTTTTCATTCCGATTTTCGAAGTTTCGATTTTTTATTCTTCCGAATTTATTTGGAACAGGATTGGAGTGATATATAAAATTACCGAAAATTCCGATTTCCGATCCGATTTTAATTCCGAATATTTCTATAATTTTACTAAATATATAGTATACTTTATGATATTTGGAATTCACAAATATAACTTATGTTATATGAAAAATATAAATAGCGAAAGGTCAAGTAAAGGGAAAATTACATTTTTCGTCCTCATACTTTACCCACAATTTCAGAACTGTCCCTATACATTTCGGAGTTACAATAGTAGTCCTTAATCATGCCATTTTTTGACAGAATTGGTCCACCGTTAATTTTTGCAGTTAAGTTGGATGAAAAATGGCATGTGCCTCTCCCATGCCTTCAATTTACAACACTACATGAAAATGGACTTTCAACAAAATGCATTGCGTCTTGTTAAAACATATTTTTATAATTATTATTTTTAATTAAAATTTAATATAAAATCGAAATCACGTAAATTCCAAAAAAATCAACTTGTTTCGGAAATATTGTTTAAAAAATCAAAATATAGTTTAAAATTTTAAAATATTGTTCCAAAATTGGCATTTTTGGAATTCAATTAAAATATATCGTTTCAAACCAAAATAAAAAAACCCAGTAGGAATTGGGGAATTAGAAATCTCCATTCCAACTTTAACCTCTAGTCAATTCCAAAAATCCCAATTGTGAGACAACATGTCGAGTTTTAAATCATTCAATATGGGTGAAAATTGGAAAGGAGTTTTCTTATGCTGCCTAGTTTGATCGAATTTTAATTTTATTTTAAAATAATATTTTCATTCAATTTCCAAAAATTCCGATTTTAAAACACAATATTATTTTTTTAGACAATATTATGATTTTTTAAACAATATTTCTGAATTTATTTTGAAAACAAATATCAAGTTTTAGATTATTAAATAAGGGTGAAAATCGGAACGGAGTTTTCTTACTCCGCCTATTACGATCAGATTTTTATTTTATTTAAAACAATAATTTTTATTTGGATTCAAGAAATTCCGGTTTTAAAACATTATATTATTATTTTAGATAATACTTCTAAAAATATTTTGATACAATCTATCGAGATTTACATTATTAAATTAGAGTGAAGATTGAAATGGAGGTTTCTTATCCCACCTATTCGGATCGAATTTTTATTTTATTTTGAAACAATGTTTTCATTTGAATTCCGAAAATCTTGATTTTGAAAGAAATATTTCATTTTTTTCAAACAATGTTTCAATTGTTTAAAGAATATTTCTCAAAATATTTTAAAACAATATATATCGATTTTGTTTTTTTGGAATTTATATAATTTCGAATTTCAATCAAGTTTCAATTATGAAAAATCTGTTTTAACAAGACGCAATGCGTGTTATTAAAAGTCCATTTTCATGTAGTGTTGTATATTGAAGGCATGTGAGAGGCACATGTCATTTTCCATCCAACTTAACTGCAAAAATAAACGGCGGACCAATTCTGCCAAAAAATGACATGATTAAGGACTACTATTGTAACTCCAAAATGTTTAGGGACAATTTTGAAAAAGTGGGTAAAGTATGAGGACGAAAAATGTAATTTTCCCGTCAAGTAAATTAAAATCTTAGAAAAAATTAATTGGTATCATACATTTTATGTTGCATTCTTCCTTATAAGAAAATCTATGTTTTATCATAAATTTTATGTTGCATTTTTCCTTATAAGAAAATCTATGTTTCAATTGTTGTTCGTACATTTGTTTTTATTTATTGCATTTTGTCGAACTTTCTTTTTGCCTTCCTTGCATTTTCTGCAAAATTTCAAAATGATAGAAAAATATTTTGAAAATTTCCATTATATCCGAATTTGGAACAAGAGATTACAAACTAATGTAATTTCCAAAATTTCCGAAATTCCGTGATCCAGAGGTACTCCGACATCGGAATGAATTTTTGCATTCCAATTTTTTGGAATAGAAATTGGAAGGTATAATTACAGTTTTGGTCCCCAAGTTTGCACATTTTTCACTTTTGGTCCCCCATTTACCGTCGCTAACAAAATATACACTAATGTTGTCACATTTTAACATATTTAGTCCATTTGTCTGTTTGATCGTTAAGAAATAACGATCAACGCTTGAATTATGGTTTGAATTTAGGGCTTTTCGTTGAGAAAATTGCAATAAGACCCCTGTATTATTTCAAAATATTCTAAAAACCCCTAAAATTTTATCCAGCTATAATTTAACAAAATTTCATCAATTAACCGATTTTAACCAATGACCCCGATTTTTCAAAATCGGGTAATCCGACGTTGAATTTCTTTTTAGCTCGGTTGACTCTTTTTTCGATTGATTTTTTTTTGCCGTTGTTGATCGATGTTGAAAGTCGGGTTAACAACGTTAATATTTTTTTTTCTTGATTTTTATTTAAATTATTGAGTAGTGGGAAAAATATAATTTAAAAAAAACTCAAGGATGATTATCGGCGAGAAAAATAATATCATAAAAGAAGTCAAAATAAAAGAAAAAAAGGAAAAAGTCAACGCAACTCAATGACAGAAAAAATTTTAAGAAAAAAATTAAAGGCTGGTGTTAGCCCCAAAAACAGTTGTACTAGTCTGGTTTCTCATTTTCAAATTACTCCGCACATGCCTAATTCATCTTCTTCATATTTTTTTAAGAAGAAATTTGGGATTCACTGGCGGTTCCACGAAAAAAGATGAGGGGAAGAAATTATAGATTTTAGAATTTTTTTAAATTGTATTTAGGCCCCAGAATTTTAGATAAAAACTTTGTTAGAAGTTTGTAATTTTAATATTACGATACTAGATATTAATATAGTATTATTATTGTGTTATACAGTAATAATATTGTGTTGATCAGAAAAAAAGTCACAGGAAAAAGTTAAAAAAAAATCAAGAAAAAAAAAATAATCAACATTGTTAACCGATAATACAATTTCGGTGAACGGCGTCAAAAACAGTATTTAAAAAAAATCAATGCCAAAACGAAAGGTTAAAAAAGAAAATCAACGGCGGTCAATGGTCAGCGGTAATGGTGGTAAAAATCGGGGTCGTTTGTCAAAATTGATTAAATGATGAAATTGGGGTTAAATTAGGGTTTAATAATATTTTAGGGGGTTTTAGAATATTTTAAAAGAATGCAGGGGTCTGAGTGCAATTTTCTCAATGAAAAATCAAAAAATTCAGCCCTAATTCAACAGTTGACCGTTATTTCTTGATGGTCAAATAGATGGAGGGACTAAATGTGTTAGAATGTGACAACATTAGTGTGTATTTTGTTGACGGCGGTAAATGGGGGACCAAAAGTAAAAAATGTGCAAACTTGGGGGACCAAAACTGTAATTATCCCGAAATTGGAACCAATTATTTACCTTTAAAAAAAATTGAAAATTTTCCAAAAAAATCATTTCTGATCCATTATGTCCGATTTCTATGCATGTACAACCACTAAATGAGTGGAACAAAATCAAACCTTCAACTGCCAGTATATATTTATATATGAAAAGAAACAATTTTTTGTTTGGAATGAAAAATTATTCTTAGAGATGGCGGCCTATGCAGCTCTACTCTCTCTCAAGCATATCATCCAACAGATTCAGCTTCATCCTCGCCCTCCAATTTCGCTTCACCAAAACCAGGTGCTTTCTCTCACCGACACCCTCAATTTCCTGCAAGAGTTTCTTGAAGTTTATTCATGTGGCGGCAGCAGCAGCAGCAGAGAAGCAGCAGATGTCTTGGAAAGCCGCATTGCAGATGCAACTCATGCGGCGGAAGATATAATCGAAACCCGGATTGTTGATCAAATTCTCGGTGGCGAAAGAGTCAGTTCCGATGAGTTGTATCAAGGTCTAGAGAAGTTGATCCAAGACATGGGTTTTATCAAGAAAGATGTGATGGAGATTAAAGAGAAGAACATTGGAATAATCGAAGATCATTCTCTGCACACAAATTCTCCCACGCTTGGAGGTTTGTCAAGTTCTCCTTCAACGAGGCAGAACGCCGTGGTTGGTCTTGATGATCTCTTAATTGAAGTAATGGATAAGCTCACTGGACAACCATCTAATCTCCGCATAATCCCGATTGTTGGAATGGGCGGCATTGGTAAGACTACTCTTGCTAGAAATGCTTATGGTAAGCCACTCATTATGCATCACTTTGATATTCGTGCTTGGGTTGCAATATCTCAAAATTATAATGTGCAAGAAATTCTTATAGAAATTCTTCTTTGTATAAGAAAAGACGAGAGCCGAGAAATCTTGAGTTCGAAGAATGAAGGTGAATTAGGTGAAACAGTACACAAAAGTTTATGGGGAAGGAGATATTTGATTGTATTGGATGATATTTGGAGTGTTGAGGTATGGGATAAAGTGAATTTTTTCTTCCCTGACAATGGTCAAGGAAGTAGAATAGTGATAACCACTAGGCTATCAAATGTTGCTTCGATTGGCTCTCGTGGCCTTGAGATGAATTTCCTAGATGATGATACAAGTTGGGATCTACTGTGCAAAAATATATTTGAGAAAGAAGAAGACTGCCCTCATGAATTGGAGGAAATCGGAAAGAAGATTGCAAAAAATTGCAAAGGACTTCCTTTGTCGATTGTTGTGATTGGAGGACTCCTAGCAAATTCCAAGCATACAACAGAACATTGGGAATATATTTCGGAAAATTTAAACTCGATTGTACATTTAGAAGACAACGAGCGTTGCTTAAAAGTATTGCTTTTGAGTTATAACCATTTGCCGGTACACCTCAAGCCATGTTTTCTGTATATGGGAGTTTTTCCCGAAGATAGGAAAATCCATGTCTCCTGGCTCGTAAAATTATGGGTTTCCGAAGGATTTCTGAAACCAATTAGCGGCAAAAGCTTGGAAGTGGTTTCGAGAGAGTATTTAGAGGACCTTTGTGACAGAAATCTCATTAGAGTTCATCAAAGAGGGTCTAATGGGAAAATAAAATTTTGCAACATACATGATCTCTTGAGGGAAGTATGCTTAAGAGAAGCTGAGAGAGAGAAGTTCCTTTACGTCCCAAGAAAGCATAGCCTCAACATTGCACAAGGAATAAATACGCAACGCCGCATTATTATTCATCAAAGCGAATCGGAGACTGGATATCTCCGTGACGTCCTGCAAGTGAACAATACGTTGCTATCGGTGCCCCTTGCCCGTTCATTGATGTGCAAATTTATGCTTTTACCATCACACCCCGGATCTAATTATAGATTGTTGAGGGTGCTGAAAGTAGTTGATAAACATTCATATTCTGGCTATCATGCGTCAGATTCCATAGAAGCCGTTCTTCAGCTAGTTAACTCGAGGTTCCTTGCCATCGGAGCTGATTGGCAGAATTTCAGATTTCCTTCTTCAGTGTATCTCCTTTGGAATCTACAAACTTTAATCGTTAAGGATATGTTTTACGCTGTCGCACCATCCGTAATTTGGAAGATGACTCAACTAAGGCACATCGAGTTCGGTCTACTTGATCTGCCCGATCCTCCTATTGGTGGTGACGACGACTTTGTCTTGGGGAATCTACAGACTCTCTTGAAAATAAGAAATTTCAAATGTGGAGAAGAGGTAGTTAAGAGAATCCCCAACGTCAAGAAATTACAAATATGTTATCTTGAGGAATTCGAGGGATGTTCAAGTTACTCTCTCAACAAACTTGTCCGTCTACATAAACTCGAATCCTTTAGCTGCTTCTTTTATTCCCAAAAGAAACCACACCGGAACGATTTGCTGCGGAACTTGATCCTCCCGAATTCCATCAAGAAGTTGGCTCTGAGGGGGACCAATCTATACTGGGACGACATGAAGACAAAGATAGGTTTGTTACCCAATCTTCAAGTACTCAAACTGCAATATAATTCCTTTGTAGGACCCGAGTGGGAAACCGTTGACGGGCAATTCTGCAACCTAAGATTCTTGCAAATCTACACGTGTAGTGATCTGGAATGGTGGACAACGACAGACAGCTCCCACTTTCCACGCCTTGAGCATCTTGTTCTCTGTAACATGGATAAGTTGAACGAGATGCCGTCGTGTATTGGAGAAATACCAACGCTTCAATCCATTGAGTTGAAAAATTGTAGCGACTCAACTATCATCTCTACTAGAAGAATATTGGAGGAACAAGAGGAACTCGGCAATGTAGGCCTTCGAGTTCGAGTTATCTTATTCAATCAAGAACACTTGGAGAGCTTGGCTAGATCCAATTTTCAAATTGAAGAATCTCGGTAAGAACTAGTCTTCATTGATTAACATCAAGCTTCTTTTATTGCTTTGATAAAATCATGAAAGGATATTGTATTTCTCTTCCTAGTTTTGTCAATAATAATTTGAGTAAATTACAACCACCCTCCTGAGGTATGGTAAAATTACGAGAACCTCCCTTCTGTTTGGGTAATTACAACAACCCCTCAACTATAAATTTTCTTACACGTCCACCCTTGCAGTTTCAAATTTAGTAGAATCTTCTTGATTATATGGAATATTATCACTTTTGTACCCGTTTTATCCCATTCGAGCTCCACATTTTGAAGCAAGATGATCATAAGGTGTGTTTTTTGACTTGTATATATCAGATTGTGGTGCATCAGAAACTGTATTTTTACACAAAACGAGTATAAACTAGAGCACATTCCACGAAATCTAGATGATTATGTTGAATTTGACACCATAAGGGTGAAGGTGTAAGTAGATTCATAGTTGAGGGGTAGATGTAATTATCGAAGAAGGGGTTTTTCGTAATTTGATCATACCTCAGGGGTGGTTGTAATTTACCCTAATAATTTTGTCATTTCAATTTGATAACATGGGGTACCACCTTGCAGCAGTACACAGTGAGTGAACCCACGTGCGGAACATAAATCGGAGAATGGAGGTCCGGAAGCTGATCGCTTGTCGAGTTATCGAGCTCAGATTGACAATTTAATCGATTCGATTGTTGTTACAATTCGGTCCGAACCTGATCGGTGAATAAAGTTTTTTTTCTTCTCTCATGAACATATAAAATCATATAAACCCGTATTTCCGAGATCTAAATAATCATCATTTGAAATAAAATGCATACATAAAATTGGTGTATGGGAGAGGACAAGATAGATCTATCTCCGATGTGAAGAAGACATAATTAATCAAACGAAGCACCTAAAAGGAAGAGTGAAAATCGGAACTGAATTTTCAAATTCCACCAATTCCAATCCAAAAAAAAATTCAATTTTCAAACACGAATTAGAATTATTATTTTACTTTCACAAAATAATAGTTTATAATTGTTTCCAAAATGCTAGTTTTGATCCGATCCATTCGATTTCCACCCTTATCTTTAAAATAGTTAATTACTTGTTCTGCGATAAAATGGCAAGTTTTCATTGCAATTATTGTCAGCTGATTTATGTACCGTTTGATAGCAATAAAATGCAAATTTTCATTTTGATTTTGAATTCAAAATAAAAATCAGTTTGATTTTGTTTTGAAACATGATTGAAATTATTTTTCAATTCCGAAAGAATTAGAAAACTTATAAAAAGTGCTAATTTTGATCTTAATTAATGGTTCGATCTCCACCTCTAGTTATACCCTGTGTTGGTTACGAATGCCCCCGTATGGGACTACGGAGTTTATTGCATTAAGTATCACTATGACTATGTTATATGGAATTCTAAAAAAGCTTTTGCAAACACCAATTCGAACGTCAATACCTTATGGGCGAGGGCACACCGGATAAATTGACTTGATTGAAGCCTAATTGTGGCCCAAGAAAGAGTGGACAAAGAATTGTATTCCAACTATACAGACATATATGTGATCACTATTCGATTCGATGACCTTCATTAGATACTTCACTTTACGTAATTTCAACTTTCAAGAAAGTGGTTCGATTCTAAATCAAGAATTTATAATCGCTAACCTAGCGACCGTTGGCAGAAGTATTTGAATCTGGGTCAATTGATCATTACTGACACAGATTCACTTGCTCCAGATCATCATTTGCGGACAAAAAGAAGAAGTAAATTGTGTGTTTATTTGGATAGTTTCATAATACATATATATAGTTATAAATCACATTACGTACGACTTCGTTTTTATTCTGAGTTATTATGAACATTATAGTAGAATGATACCTATCTAGGGGTTATATGACAAACACCCCTCATTGGATTTTGACTTCTTGATAAATCCATTTTTTTTAATTGATATTTGTTATAAATCCACTTGATTGGAATTATCCAAAATGCCCCTATTTAATATTACTAAAAATTATCATATTATATTATTTTAAAAAAATCATTATCTTTTTTAGTAGATATGTAAATCCCCCAATTTTCTCCCCACACCATCCCCAATTATCTCCCCTATCGCACGGCTTCAATTTAAGTTTCATTTTTTTTTTTTTTTCTTTTGAATGGTTTTTTTTATATCATTTTAAAACAAAATTTGGTTTTTTTTTTTTTTTTTATTTCACTTTTTTAAATGGTTCATATTTTCAAAAAAATGAAATCCGCTACATACTCATTGAAAACCACTAAATTTATCAAAAACCACTATAAAATTAAAGTAAAAATTATTATAAAATAATCATAATCCACGTTAATATTAACGTAATCCACTTTGTAATTAATGAAAACCACTCCGTACAAAAATCACTATGTAATTAACAAATTTCATTAAAAAAATTCACTAAAAAATTATCAATTAACAAAAACCACTCTGTATTTAATGAAAACCACTCTGTAATTTATGAAAACCACTCCATTTAATTACAAATTCCCATGACCAAGAATCATTAAATTAAAATCCACTATCAACGAAATTCACTACTAAGAAAACCTAACGGCACCATCTGCATGTGGTGATTGATGCAAGCAAATACAACCAACGGAACCTCGTAATTTTCAGTCAAAGATTTAGTATCGAAAAATACAACATCTCCAAAATAACCATAGGCTGCCCTACCCCTCGTTTCTGCCCAAAATACATTCCTCAAACGCCCTTTTCTCATTAATATCCATAACTTAAAAGAAATCAGAACTACTCAACTGCATTCTCGTGAAAAAATCGAGAATTTCTTGCGCATCACCTTGTTTAAGCTTCAATTTATTGTCGCCCCCATCAATTTTATTCCCAATTTCGCTTTCGTTGTCTTCTTCAAATGATTATGCTCGAGTTCTATTTGTATAATTCTCCAGCGATGATCATCCATTAACCTAATTTTATTCATTGAAGGACAGGCCGTTCGAGTTTTGGGCCTCGGGATTGGCTTCGGTTTTCTTCTTGAAACCTGCACTGCTACAACTGAAATTGATCGCGCCCCAATTGCGCTTCTCTTGTGCCGTCTCGCGAACCCTAGTGTGCGAATGATGGTCGGCCGAAGGGAGAAAGGGAGAGAGAGTGTGGGGTTGGTGAAGGAGATGCAAAAAAGAATTTGTTGCAGAAGAGGTAGAGAAATCAAAACGACAAAAATAGAGAAGGGAGAGAAAAGATATGAGTATCAGATCTAGGGTTTGGGGTGAGATATAAGAAAGGGTATAATTGTGAAACTGTATTATTTTTTATTAATTAAGAATATTTTGGATTTAACTTAAAAATTGATTATTTTTTTGGACTCCTTGTAAAGGGAGGGTTCCAATGAGGGAGTTTTGTCAAATTATCCCAAATATCTAATCTTAAATAGTGTCATTTGAGAATTATCTTTAAATAATCTGGTCAAGTGTAAATAATTTTATGCAAATACAATCTCATTTTCGTAACCTCGAACCAAAAATTAAAAAAACAATTATAGAATTTGCGAGAAAATAGTGTCCATCTTCAATATCAATAATGCAGAAGGCAAAACCGGTTGGAAATAACATGGCTATATATTAAACTCGCGATTACAATTTTTTTGTGCTTTACATACAAAGGAACTAACATTCTCGTTTTTTGTTGTTTTCTTTTTTATATTGTGGATATATCGAATAATCTTGCTTCTTTTTATAGTGTATGGTAGCTCGAAGGTCGCCAAGGGTCCCCGTTTGCCATATCTTACGTCAATACGACCGACCGAGAAAAATAAATCAATAAAAATATATAGAAATATCTATAAATTAAAAATATTCTATTTTCCAACTTGGGAATCTCATGCCTTCCATTTGCTACACAACTTGTCCAAATTATCTGCATGTCTATCTCCAGCAATTTGTCAACATCTACTTTCTTAATTTTCCTATTTATAAAAAAATGAAAATAAAGTTATTTATTTATGTATATGAAAATTTAAAATATGTATTATTCTCATCATGCAACCCTAATTATTGTTAACATTAATTAGGTACATATAATATTTTCCAGAGCTCCAATAAAAAATATCTTGATTGGCTTTATTAAACTAATTAGCTAGTCAATCATATGATTGTCAATTAAATATATAAGTCCACATTGAAAAATAAATAAATAAATAAAATTAACCCAACAAATAAGCCAAGAAACAAACGAGGAAAACCTACAAGGGAATCCATTATTTCTCAGAAATATCCTACCCGTGAATATTGTGAGGTGATTGGTCAGAAAAATATTCGAGGATTAATCCTACTATGTCTTTAGAAGGAAAATACGGTTAAAACTCTATAAATTATCACAGTATATACTAACAAAATTCTATTAAGTAAGCGAGATATTAAATTATTAAACTAATAATTTAATACATTTGTACCAAGTCGGGACTAGAAAAAAATTATTATTCAAGTAAGGTTATTAATTTATAAATAATTTATCGAATATTAATTTATCGAGGTTCTACGAAAATGCATGCACAATGATTTTCAAATATACCTTCTCATATTCTAATTGCATCACATTCTTTATTCTACAACTTATAAGTTTTCAACATAAGCATACTATATATGCTACTTTGTAAATATTCAAAGTGGTAACAATACATCTCATACTTTTCTGTCACAATAGTAATTATGAGCTAATTACTTTCTAATTATTGAGCAACTTTTGAATATAATTGATTAGCATTTGGTGATGCTTTGACTATATAGATTAATGTTTTGGACAATGATTACAAGACTTCGTTGACCATTTCATATCATATTAATTAATCCATTAACTTCATAATGAGAGGTGGTAGCATTTTAGAGGTATTATTTACTTTACTCCCAATAATTTTTAGGAGTAATATGCTAAGAGTCCCTCAACATAAACGTAATTTGAATTGGATGACAACCTCAAATAAAATATATTAACTAAATCCTTTGTTCAAAATAAAATTTGACCCACATCCTTTTAATTTTGTTTAACCTGAAAATACCCTTAATATAAATAATAATAAATTAGATTTTACTCTCATTAATTTATTTCCCCTCTTTTTTTTCCCAGCCACCCCACTCCCATCGTTTTCTCTCTTCTTTTGAATCGTTCCAACTTTCACCCCTTTCTCTACTTTTCTCATATTTTTGCAGACTGGGGATTTCGGTGCCATCGAAATTGGAGGACCCAATCCAGATCTGCCACGGAGTGTTAGAGAAGGCTGAAGGGGGAGATGCGGAGATCTGGAAATTTCGAGGTTTTTGGAGACCTCGGCGGTGATGTGGCAGAGCAGGCGGCGGATGTAGAAGGGAGCAACGGAGGTGGCAATGACGGCAGTGGTCGTGTTTATAGAGGTGATGTTATGGTGGGGATGGCCATTGGAGACGGTGGTTGAGATTAGATCGACGGTGGGTGGTGGTTGTATTAATCTAGGGTTTTTTTCCGACGCTAGGATTTTGGTTGACGGTTAGGGTTTTGTTGATAGGAGTTGGCGACGGCTGCTAGGGTTTGGCGACGGCCGAGAGTTTGTTTTGCTGCTAGGGTTTGGAATAATACGCCGCAGTAAACCATAGTACACCGTAGTATGCCAGTATACACCAGTATATCATAGTATATCGTAGTATATCATAGTCTACTATAGTATTCACAGCAAATAAAATTAAAAAAATACGTAAATTAAATTAAAAAAAATAAAAAACATATTTGTTTGTAATTTTCAGTATTATATAGAAAAGAAGAATTTTATTTGTTTTACAAATAGTGTAAGAAGTGCTAAAATGTTGAAAGAAAAAAAAACGTCTTTTCTGTAAAAAAAAAATGAAAATATTTGATGAAAAATGAAAATATTAGATGCAAACTAAAAAGATGATAAATGCACTTTGAATTTTACTTAATGCATAATTTGAATTTGTGAGTGGAGGGGTATTTTCGGAATGAATTTTATAAAGGATGTGTAGCAAATGTTTAGTTAAGCTTGTCATTTAGTTCTAATAAGTTTTGTCACTAGGGACTTATATCTTAAGACCCCTAATTTTTATTTATTTAATTTTTGTAAGGATATTATTTACTTAAATATTTTAGTAATACGGATAAATCTCTATAAATTAATGCAGTTGAGAGTTGAGACCATCATAACCCTATTAATTTAGCGACCGATGGGTTCCGATTTTTTTTTCTCCTTTCGTTTCTCTTTATTCATAAAATAACACGATTGTAAAATGTTTATACTATTTTCATTAAAATTGTAAAATATTTTCTTGATGTGATACTTTTATTTTGCAAATTATGCGCTCAACCCGGGTTTTATAAAATAAAGATGAATTTCAAGTAATTAACCTCGTGATATATTTTTTTTTTCTTTAAAAAATAAGTTAAATTAGACGATAATTTTTTTATGTAATTTAAAAGAGTAGTATTTAATAATTTATAAAGCATTAAAATATGAAAAAAGGTATATTTGAAAATTATATGCGAGTAGCAATAAAGAGAACCTGATCCACTCGTCAATTTTTAGTTTGTGATTGTGACCATGAAAACGTGTGCGAGCCATTTGCTGAACCGAGTCACTGAGTTCTCTGACTTTGAAATTTAACCCAGTCACAATTCGCGTTTTTTTCGAATAAACCCATACAAAAAGCATATATTTTAACTTTAGTCCCTCAACTATTGGTTAAATATATTTTCGGTCCCAATAACTTTTGATGTCATCGATCTCTTAATGTTATGATCAATTGTATAACATTTGTCTAACTAACCTTTTCTTTTTATTAATACTAATAAAAATTATTGAACTGCAATCAAGCATATACGTGCACTGGATGAATAGTACAATATTTAGCAAACTACATGAAAAGCATAAGACGTGCTTCATAATTTAAACTTGGAAAATGTTGGTAATTAATTTAAAATCGAATCATTTAATTAACCATGAATGGTTGGTAATCAATACAAAGTTGACTTAATTAGATGATTGTAATGTAATGAAATAATAATGCTTGCATGTTACAAATAGATTCTTTCATGATATACAATCAAATCTTAAATTATTTGAGCTTCAAACCAACAATTAAGTTTACAAGTACTTACACCAATAAAAAACAAAAAGAGAATCATTGACATTACAATTCCTTATAATTGTCTCATCCAAATGTTTAATATCACCTGCCTCTGGGAATTGTTTTTTCGGCACAATTATTTTCACAATAACAATGTTATAATTTCGAATCTCCCAGATTTTATACCAGATGAAACACGAATGATACTGTTGTAGTGTAGATCTACACATTTTCAAGCGTAGAGAATCTACAGTCACTCGAAGTGTATTAGGCGAACTCTGCCACCGTGTAATAGCTCGCGAATAACACGTAAGATGCCACTACATTTAACTAATTCAGATCAAATATCATTGTATTTTCTTGCTCCACCAACTAGACGTATATGTGTACAAATTGAATAATCAACGTTACACTTATTTATAACCAAACCATATCCGATAAAATTAAGTTCACGGATGCAGCATAGAATAAACCGATCATTCAAACTCTCCACCCTTTTAACAAGACTCGAAAAACTCAAGACCAAAAGTCCAATTACCACATAGCAAAAGGCCAAAATTGCAATTTAACCCCCCAAAAAAATATTAAATTAAAAAAGAAACAATCAATAATAGTGGGCCAAATCTTATCAACTACATAGTCACATGTAATTGCACCCCTTTGAAACAATGACACCTTCCTTACACCACACCATGGTTAGTTTTAAACAAAAGCAGACGCGCACACACACTCCACGCGAATAAGACTCAAAATCATAATTACTATTTCATCACACGGATTTATAAATTAATATCAAGAAAATTTCAATCAAATCATTATGTTTTGTAACACCCCACCTCACCCCACCACCCCCCCCCCCCCCACCCCCAACCCCCACCCCCACCCCCACCACTTTTTGTTGGTCATTTTGTTTCCTCTATAAAAACAAGTGGAACAAACACAACAAACCCATTACAGTTTATCCACAAAAGCTTCAATCTTGATATCCCCATAACAAAATCAAAATCAAAAATCAAAAAAAAAAATCAAATCTTTTTCTCAAGAAAGAACCACAGAGATTTTTCTGGTGTTTTTTTATTTATTATAAATAAATAAAACAAGAAATAACTGTCTATAAATAGAGGGTCTCTTGTTTTCTTGGAGGGATTTCTTCTTATTTCTTCTTCTCAAATATTGGGGAAAAGATTTCATTTTTTTTTTCTTTAATTAATTAAAATAAATAATAAATATTATTTTTTTGGTATGACAATGCAAATCAAGAAGCTGGCGTCTTCGCCTTCTCGTGCTGGCAGGCATTTGCAGCGTTACAATCAAGGGTTTCGTCTTGTTGTTGGGTATGTTTTTTTTTTTATTATTATTATTATTATTATTATTATTTTTTCATTTCTTGAAATTTAAATTATTTGAATTGGTTGAGAATTTGTGGCTAATTCTTTTGAAATTGTGCAGATGTATTCCTTACAGAATCAGGAAAAACAACAATTCACCCACAATCCATGGAACCCTAATTGAAGATTTGGAGGTTCTTTTGATCAGCTCACAAAAGAGTCCAAGAATGATGTTCCCAAAGGTAGCTTTTTTAATTTTTTATCCACATCTCATTAAAAAAAAAAAAAAAAAAAAGACAAAAGAAATTAAATGTAATTATGTAATAACAATTATTAATCTTGCAATGAAATTCATCAGGGTGGTTGGGAACTCGACGAGGATATCGAATTGGCCGCCTCACGAGAGACATTAGAAGAAGCCGGTGTTATTGGAGATATCGGGGTAAGCATATTCTTGAAAATATTATTATTGAATAAATGTAATGTATGTTTTTTTTTGTTTTTGTATCTATACATCCTCAATCTTTATTGTTGTCTGATTTTTTTTATGTTGTAATATTCTTGCAGGATAAATTAGGCGAATGGGTTTTCAAGAGCAAGAGCCAAGAAAAATACCACGAGGGGTCCATGTTTTCGTTGTTGGTCACCGAGGAATTAGACGTTTGGCCCGAGAAAGATGTCCGCCAACGAGTTTGGGTATGTTCGTTTTCTTGAAATTTTCTTGAAATTTCCGGATGTGGGATTTTGATATATTTAATTTTCTTTAAAAAATAAATTGGCCCTTATTAATTTTTCCGATATTTATGTTTTAATTTAGATGAGTGTGGAAGAAGCTCGAGAAGTGTGCGCGCATTCGTGGATGAAAGAAGCTTTGGACGCGTTCGTTTGTCAATTTAACCCTCGGCAGAGAGTTGTGGAGGAAGAGCCCTTGGCTTCGTGTAGATTAGAGCTTTGCAGAACCGACGAATTAAGACTCAGCATTGGAGGTCAAAGTGCAGATGAAGATGTTGACTGCTATTTGTTTAGTTGATGCCGAAATAAATAAATTTTTTCCCCAAGTGTTTGTTCGATTATTTGTTCGTTCGTTTGTTCTTTTCACTTTGGTGCTGACTTTCTTCTAGCAAACATATGCGAAGAAATTGCTTGGAGATGATGAGGAACTAGTATAGAGAGAGAGAGGGAGAGAGAGAGAGATTTAGTGGGGAAATGTATGAATAGTTTTTAGCTTGATTAATTCTTTTATTCGTTGATTCTTTTCGACTATTAGTTTTTGGGTTTAATGTTTGTAAGGTAAATTAATAAAGTTGAGGTGAAGAATTGAAGAAAAAGTTGTGTACTGAACACCAATATTGAACAATTTCTGGGACTTTGGGAATTTTTTACTTTTTGAATTGTGCCTGTGAGTTGCCCTGCAAATTTGAATTCAAAGATTGTTTCGCAGAAAAAATTAAAATTTGGTGATTGTATTTTTTTCCGTCAATTTTCTATTAAAACTAACGGAATCAAGCGTGTGCCTATCAATGCCTTAACTGACGGACTAACGGTAAATTGACGGAAATGACCAAAAGTGTTAAATTATTGAAACACGAGGGACCAAATGTTCGGTGCAAACTTGAGAGATGAAAACTGCAGTTCTCCCATAAAATTATATTTGAAAGTTGAGGATGTTTGTCAATCTCTTGAAAAATCAGCTTTTTAAGCAGTCATTTTATAAATTAATGTGTTTGCAAAACAATTTTTGGCTTATTTTTGTAAAAATATTGTCAATTTCTTTATAAATGGGAATTAGATAAAAGTAACAAGGACACATATGTTCAATGGAGTTTTAAGTTCGAAAAGAACTGCAGCAGAGACACTTTCAATTGAACAAATTAAAAAAAAAAAAAAAAAGATATTTGTGAAGGAAGAATTTCATTGATATTACAAGAGACAGCCAAAAATGCACGTTCGAAATCTGGATTTCTCGTTGTCGTTTACCATAGAATACTTGTTTTTGCATAAGGGAGAACCAAAGAGAGGGCAACAACCTACTTTACAACAATATAGCGGCTCCCATAAAAATAAGAAAAACGAACCAAATCTTTGAAATCTACCCCATAAAAAGATACAAACCGAATACTACATAAGTTTGGTCTCATTCGTCCACTACGAATTTTGATCCCGCATTGAAGACGAACAAAAAGATTCCACACATAAGCATGACGGAACTCAAATTTCCATTACAACGGTCAGGCTTTTATACGGATCACGAACGAACCTGCCAGTACATGAAACGGGAAAATAATTTTTTTATAGCCATTTCGAAAAAAATATCATACATTTACTTTCATTTTATTGAATAACCGGCTCAAAACATCTAAAAATCTGACTACTGTATTCAATAGGTTTCAATTTCAAAGGCTTTAGAAGCCAATAAAAATTTTCCAATATGTTTACGAAATGGAAATTACCTTATTGGTTATTGCTGCATAAATAATTTATTGGGCAGATTGCGGCCAGCCCGCTGCGGCAAGCTCAAATTTACGCAAAAACCCCCCACGTTTGGATAATTACAACCACCCCCCTCAACTATGTATTCTCTTACAAAAAACCCCTCCTTCAGTAGGTAAATTTGACCGTGTAAGACAATACATAGTTGAGGGGTGGTTGTAATTACCCAAACATAAGGGGTTCTTTTTGTAATTTGAGCATATCTCATAGGGGTGATCGTATTTTGCCCTTAATTTATTCTACTGTTTTTTCGGCATCATTAATTTATAAGTAAAAGAAATAGACTCACATGCCGGGAGGTTGGATATATCTGCCGAAACGGCACATGGTATTCCTAGGTTCGAAAGTGCTCCCCTTATAATTCCACAAGGAAAATAAAGATGCAGGCCGATAGCTTGTGCCGCTTTGTTTTCTGCCATAGCTGAAGGATCCTGAATAGAACCTGAAGTTTCCACTGACGGATCGACTGACATATGTGCTAGCCAACGAAATCGATTATCTTGCAACACAAAAGTACCCTATAAGGAAAAACACAACACTAAGTCATAAAAAAAAATTCTCATTATATTAATTTGTAATTTTTTTTTAAATACATACTCGATGATTTGTCTTTAAGTTGTCGATCTGCTTCTTGAAGAGTTCGGACCAGAAGTCTTTGCAGATAAATTTGATTGCCTCCAGGTGATCGGTGAACCTTGGCCGATCCATTGTGTACCTGACAGAAAAGTAATGTCGAAATTGATTTCTCATGAGAATTTTTTTTTAATTCTTCGTAAATTTGACACAACCAACTAGCACGAAGAGCCACAGTGGGAAATGACGAAATGAAATAAGATACCCACTCAGCCGAATGTAAATGATGATCTCGACCCGACTCGCAATCGGCTGATATAAGACTCAATTATAGACTACGGCCTCGTTTGGTTGCCAAGATAAGATTAGCCAAGATAAGACTAAATAATCTAATGAAACCCAATTGTTTTATTGGACCTTGGAAAGGTCGAACGAAAAACATGTCTAGAAGACAAGATAAACCATGATAATATAATATTTGCGGGTCGACTCGGCAAGTTATTGGGGATACCAAACATTTTAACACAGTCCAATTATTTAGTTAATCATGGCTAATCTCCCCAACCAAACGAAGCCTATTAATTCTATCCAAAATTAAAAACCGCTTTCAATATGTGTGTGTGTGTGTGTGGTAGGATAAATACACTAATGGTCATCTTCAACGGAACTTGTTGTTTGGTTATGATCCCCGTACACCCCGTTCATCCTCGACCCATATAATAACTTCAAAAGTTCATTTAATTAAGCTACAAGCTATCTGCATAGAGCTCAAATTTATTCTGATCGTATTTGCAAACGTTTAATATAAGACTTAATATTGCGTAAATAGTTTGATATAAGTTAGCTACCTGAAATACAAAGGTGCGTGTAGTGGCTCTATGAATTTGCTCCGCCTGGTACTTAATTTGTATTTTCAACATTATTTTATTTATAGTAATTACTATTTGTAATTATCTGATATTACTTTAGGAAGGTAGGAAATATTTGGAATTTGCTGTGCTTGGTACTTAGTTAGAGAAGCTTTATCTTGTTAAGTGTCAATTTGATGCCTCAATGTAGCCACTAAAAGCTTACTTGCTAAAGTTTACATTGCAAATTCTGGCCAGGCTAAGGTGGTGTTTGCAAAGGCTTATTTAAAGCAGAAGTTAGTGATTGCGAGTTAAGTTGGAATTAAGTGCTTATTACTAAAAGTTGGGGGTGTTTGCAAATTAGCTGGAAAATCAACTAAAATAGAAAAAGCAGGTACGTAGGTGCTTTTAAAATCATAGCTTAAAGCAGCTTATTTTAAGAGAAGCAAAAGCAAAAGTTTGTTTTCCAAACAACTAAAAACAGATTATGTGCAGAAAAAAGCTCATAATCTATTTCTAAAAGCATTTGCAAACACCACCTAAGAAATTCAATGTCAACTAGCTTAAGCGTACTCTTAAACCATCAATCGGTAGCAAATCAACTCATTTTGATCTGAAATCAAGAATACATTATATACAAAAAATTGAGAAAAAATCAGTTTTTTAGAATCACATTATTTTCCTCTGTCACAATTATAACCAAAAAACGCAAGAATTCAGATATATTATATATATGACCAGTTTGCTCAGATCCACGAGAAGACAAATGCACACTGCATTGCAATAACAAATGCAATATGCCGGATTATTATGATTAAGAGAATTTAAACGATTCACGAAGTAATTTAATGCAGCTAAGGTACACCAACTTTTTAAACATAGTTACGAATTTTTTACCGGTACAATGTATGTGTAGTTCTTTTACGCACATGCAATCATTGATAAACGGCCAGCAAACCGGATATCCTTTATCTAGCTATATCATATTTCTATACGAACGTAATCCAAAGGCAAAACTAAAAACAGCATCAAATGAATAATGATAGTCGGCAAAAATCTTCGACAATCCGAACTACCAATTGCACTAACAATCCCTCTTCTCTCCTTCTCCGTTATCTTTTCTGTATTTTTTTTTTGAAGTTAATAGTCATTCTACAACTTTCTTCACCTTCGATAATTGTTACGATACAATCGACTGAACCTATCTCCTATACGAGTGATGAAACAATCACGAGAACTCTCGAAATTCATTAAGCATAAGTCTGATACCCCTATCAACAAAACCCAAATTAAATCCAATCTCAGTAGGAATTTTTGCCTTCAATTTTTCTTAAAAATAAATTATCGTGTTAATGTATAGATTTTCAACCCCTCAAATCCTTGAGAAATTCGTGTGTTTTCTTCTTCTCGCATCAAATTGGTAGTGATCAATCCAAATTAGCTTAAAAAATTCCCCAATTTTGCAATTCGAAATCTCCGATACGAATTATAAACAATTGGGTAAATATATTTAGGGAAGGGAGTAAAGCAGAAAGTTTGTTACCTTTCGGTCAATCCAATTAGCTTAAAAAATTCCCCATTTTAGCAATTCGAAATCTCCGATAGGAATTATAAACAATTGGGTAAATATATTTAGGGAAGGGAGTAAAGAAGAAAGTTTGTTACCTTTCGGTCAATCGGTGGCCAACCTGAAAGCCGATGGATTCGATCCGTGGGGCGGCGAGTTCGGGCTTGTTGGCGTAGATTCCCCGGCAATACGACGACACGATCTCCGCCATCAAACTCTCCACACAGCTTTCTGATACTTCTCTCACCATTGCTCTCTCTCTCTCTCTCTCTCTCTATGAGATTTGGGTTTGGATTTTTAAGAGAAAATTGAATTGAATTGAATTGGGAATTCACACACACCCAACAAATAAGAATGTGAATCGAGTGTCAAATCTATCAAAAAAAAATAAAAAAAATATGGTGTTTTTAAATAACCAAGCTGTCAAATTAGTTCTTACCTTTTAGGGTAAATTACGAAAATCCCCCTAAACTTAGATTAAATTACAAAATCCACTTCTAACTATTCGTAATTACCAAAAAATCCCTGAGGTTTCTTTGCGTCTTACACCGACCCCTTACAGTGTGATTTTTCACGGATTTTTTTTGAATCCATGGAATAAACTTTACAGAATTTCAGATATTTCCTTTTATTTCTCACCTATTTAACAAAAGGTGTGATTAGACTTTACTCATTTTCTGTTAAAAAACTCGATCAACAGTTAACCAGAGGGAGATTTTGGTTAGTGTGAATAGGTGAGGGTGTTTTTCGTAATTTACCCTACCTTTTATAATAGGATTGGGTAAATTACGGTCACTCTGAAGGCAGGGGCAAAATACGAAAAAAAAAATCTTCACGTTTGGATAATTAAAAGGGCAAATTACCAAAACCCCCATGAGGTAAGCCTAAATAACGAAAATCCCCCCCACATTCTCTTAATTACGAAAACCCCCCTTGACTAACGGTTGACCGAATTTTTTTAACCGCAAACGTGAAATGTCTATTATATCCTTCTGTTAAATATGCGAAAATAAAAAGGCAAATTACCAAAACCCCCATGAGGTAAGCCTAAATAACAAAAATTCCCCCCCACGTTCTCGTAATTACGAAAACCCCCCTTGACTAACGGTTGACCGAATTTTTTTTATTTATATATTTTAATTGATTTTATTTATCTATTAAACCGATATTGTATATTAAATATAAACGAAAACCCCCACTTACATGTTGTATATTAAATATAAATTAATCTTTAAAAAACAAAAAAAAAAGAAAAAAAAAACAAAAACAAAAAAGGAGAAAAATATATTGAGTCTTCTTCTTCCCTTCGTTCTTCGGAAGAGACGACCCAATCTCCAGTCCTCCTTCAGAATCATTCGACTTGCACAACGAAATCGAATACTTCTCTCCATCTTCAAGCTTTCTCGCCCTTCCCAATCCGAAATCCGCATCGCACAACTATCGGACATCCAATTCTCGACACCTTTCAAAAGCAATTGCCGAAGTAATTCAGTGGCATCGGCGGATTAGTTCTCCCTCTAACATCGACCGTCAAATTTTCCTCTTAAATTCGACACCTACCTGTTATGTGTATCGAATTAAAAATCGACATTTGTGAGCGGCGATGGAGGACGTTTTTTCGACGGCAATAGAGGACATCTTAGACGGCGGCGATGGAGGACTTATTTTCCGGCGGCGAGGCAAGTTTTGTCGGTGTGTGGGCGAGTTCTCCGCGGCCGGTGAGGCTTTGAAGCTTGAAGTCAATCTCGAATGTGTCGTCTGATTGTGGTCTTGCGTGAGAGGAATTGGATTTTATTTATATATTTATGACCCCTCATTAAATAAAATGCTTACAATTACCCCCTAAGGCTAATTTCGTGTACAAGGGCAAAATTGGTATTATCGGAGGAATATTCGGGAGAATCAAAAAGATTCTATCGAGTTTAACACCGTTAGAGCGATTTGTAAGATGTCTACATATATCAGGGGGGTTTTCGTAATTACGAGAACGTGGGGGGGATTTTCGTTATTTAGGCTTACCTCAGGGGGGTTTTGGTAATTTGCCCTAATTAAAATCACCCCCTCAAAATAATCTTCTAAATCTTCACTAAACTTCACGTTTAGTGCAAAACATGCAGTTTCTGATGCACCACAATCTGAGATTTACAAGCAGGTAGACACATCTTAAGATCATCTTGTTTCAAAATGTCGAGCTCGAATGAGGTAAAACGGGTACAAACTGAAGAATAATCCACATAATTTAGAAGATTCTACTAAATTTTGACACCGCAAGGGTGGACGTGTAAAAAGTTCATAGATGAACGAGGTGGTTGTAATTATCTAACTATGACGTTTTTTTTTGGTACTTTGGCCTTACCTCAGGGGATGACTGTAATTTACTCTAAATCCTAATAGTATTTCAAATGAGATGCTCGACAAAAAGCTCGAGCTCTAACTTTTTGAGTTCTAGCTAGTATAATTTTAATTCTCCATTTTGTTCATGAACTCAGAAGAATCCATTGTTTGGTTTGATAATTAATTAATTTATGCTAGAACGAGTTTTAATCAAGTCGAACGCAAACAAACAAAATTTATATAGCTTGATTTTCTTAGCATATTTTATCATTTTTTTTTTCTAATCAAGCTCGAGCAATTCACATCTTATCGAACGAAAAAATATGCGTTCAAAATTGATTCGTTATATTAACAAATCAAACTCAACACAAGCTTTGAACTAATGATCTTGAATCAGTTATTGTATAGTTTTGTTTGAACTTTTCAATTTTCATACAAGAAAATATTGTTGTATTCTTTAGGGTATTCATAGCAATAACAAAAGTAGTAAACACCCGCAAAAAGAATTAACTATATTATCTTCGATCGCGTAAGTTAAGCAATTGATATTTTTATTATTGACAAGATAACTCACGAGTCACAACAACTCGATGTGCATTGCGTAAACTTCACCCTTTTAGATTCTCTCAAAGGAACACTATGCAATTATACACTTCCAGAGGGGGTCTAGCTATAATTATACTAAAAAGAGTGTCGTTTCTATGAAACAAAAAAAATAGCATTCAAATTAGTAACAAAGTTGTAGAAATTACTGTGTTGAATGACCACCTCAACCAAAAATTTAATTTTTTAGTGAATTGTATCATTTAATATTAATATCTCCAATACGCCCCCTCCTCAACCAAAAATTTAATTTTTTAGTGAAATGTATTATTTAATATTAATATCTCCAATACGCCCCCTCAAGTGCAGACGAATTACATTTGAAGGCTTACACTTGAAATATTTGAAATGGGTGGCGGTGGGATTCGAACTCAAGACCTTTCATTTAGCCCGACTCTGATACCATGTTGGATGACCACCTCAACCAAAAGCTTCCGAATAATACCCGAATGACAAACTATAAGAGCGAAAAGTTAATTCGAATTCGAAACCAATCACTATGTCTTCAAGACCAAATATCGCAAAACATATTTACGCAAAATGTTCCGAGAATCTCGCGAATTTTATTACATTATACTAAATAATTAAATAGGGATGCAAATTGAAGAAGTGTATAATTACAAAATCATATTTCTCCATCCCAAAGTTCCTCTATCGACTTGTATTGTCCATCTGCAGAAACAAACTCTTTCCCACTGCCGGCTCTGTGCTGCGGGATTTGCCGTATCTTGTGAACTTCTTCGTCACTTAGTTCCCAATCGAAGATTTGAATGTTTTGCATTATTCTCTCCTTATTGAAGCTCCTCACGGTTGGAGTCGCTCCTTGCTCGTAAATCCATCTCAAAGCAACCTATATTATTTCAAAATATAATTATACATGAATGGGGGTTTACTCACAACCTATACGGTTGGCTTCAGGTCATCTTTATAAATAAATTAAAAAAATTATATCTATATATATATATATATATATATATATATATATATATATATATATATTACCTATTTTGGATTGTTATGATTTGTAGATGGATAATCTTTACTTATCAACAAAGTGGCTGTAGTTTAGTGGTAAGAATTCCACGTTGTGGCCGTGGAGACCTGGGCTCGAATCCCAGCAGCCACAAAAAATATACATGTTTTTGAAACACAATAATTTGGAAAAAAATGTATATACATTAAATGAAAATGCATTGTTTTTTGTTAATCAAAAATAAATTATTTGTAGGCTTTCATAAAAATAGAATAAACTAAAATACATTGGCAACACTTGTCTCTACTAAAAAACAAACAAATATCACTTTATATTTCAAATTCTTCTTCTACAATAAATTTTCCCAAACATGATTTGAGATTTGACCGCTGCTATCTGATCTGATTAGCATCGAGCGAATTAATGACGGTGCGAGAAAAAAAGAACAGTACAATATTATATTTGAATAGGTTTATAGAAAGTTTACAAACGAAGTTTGTGAATGTACCTGTGCCAATGTCTTGTTTTTGTTAACTGCAATTTCTTTAAGGACTGGATTCTCCATCACTGCATTTGCTCCTAGTGGAGACCATGCACTTATATGTATCTTTTTCTCCCTGCAAAATTGCACCAATTTCCCTTGTTGCCATCCAACATTCATTTCCACCTGCAATAATACATACATACATATACACACACACACACACACACACACACACAACTCAACAAACCAACACTTTCCGGAATTTTTTGTACAAAGAAAATGATGTAAAACAAGTACCTAGCTATTTGTATACTTCAATTAAAATAGAACAAACTCAAAGATATAATTATTCAAGCTCATTAGAATTAAGGTGGTGTCTGCAAAAGCTTTTGACAAAGTGATTTTGAGCTTTTTTGGGCTCAAAATTATTTTTGAAGTGTTTGCAGTACCAACTTTTGCTTCTACTTCTATTAAAATAAGCTGCTTTAAGGTAAAACATAAAAAGCACCCCCGGACCAACTTCTCTAAAACAAGTTGCTGGAAATTGATTTTTCATGAAATCTCCAAACACGTTAAAAATAAACACTTATTATTAACTATACTCATAATAACCAACTTCCACTGATTACTTTTTGAGCTTTTTTTTCGGCTCAAAATCATTTTTTAAGTGTTTGCAGTACCAACTTTTGCTTCTACTTCTCTTAAAATAAGTTGTTTTAAGGTAAAACATAAAAAGCACCCCCAGACCAACTTATCTAAAACTATAAGTTGCTGGAAATTGATTTTTCATGAAATTTGCAAACACACTCAACTGTTAAAAATGAACACTTATTATTAAGTTCAATCATAATCACCAACTTATATTTTTGAAAAGCTTTTGCAGACACCACCTATAATACTTGTTGACATTGTGATCCGAATTCTATATTGGATCTGACTCGAGATCGAAGATCCCGGTGCAACATGTTATGGTGAATAGAATTGAACGAAATCTTTGGTTGTTTCTCTATTTTATTTCTTTGTCGAACTATCTTATATTATTATAAAAGAATACTAAACAATAGTATGGGTGGAAATTGGAACTAAATTTCCAATTTCCATTGATCCCGATCTGAAGTTTTTCGATTAAGGAATAATATTTTTTATTTCGAATTCCGGTTTTCGATATCTCTAATATATTTTTTGAATCGGAATTGGAATAATTTCAAACAATACCGATTTTAATTTGAGAAAATAATTTCGAAAGTTACACTTATAACATCAAAACTATATATAGATAACCGAAAAATTGGAACTTTCCAAATTACGTCGATTGCGATTAAAAAACTTCCGATTGTAGAACAAATCTTTTCGTTTCAATTTCCAAAATTATGAGTTTCGATGTTTGTAAATTTTTTTGTATTCATATTGGAATTAATTTTTCATTTCCAAAAAAAATCGAATTTTTTTCATAAGTGCAAACTCTATCCCGATCCGTATTTCCACCCGTACTAAACACCAATCAACTTATCCAACTACCAACAACTATGGCCAATTATTTCTAAAATAGTCAAATACTTCCCTTTTCAAATGAATCGATAATACTAGTAAACAATAACAGAATTTAACAACTATGACAAATTAGTAAAATAGCCAAACACCCATATTGAAATTCATCGATTATCAGTAGGGATAGAGATCGGATCGAAATTATATTTTAAAAAACAAATCCATTTTTATTCCAGAAATGATCGGAATTTGAATGAAAAAACTTGTTCAAAAAAATAATAATTGAATCGCGATCCGCGAAAACAAAAATACTATTATTTTATTCACTTATAATATAAAATACATAATAACATTGATATTATAAGTGCAATTTCGGGATTATTTTAAAAACTTAAATTGGGTTGAAAATCAAAAATCTCATATGTACTTCAATTTCGTTCATAAAAAATCAAAATTTGAAATAAGAAATGCAATATATTGTTCCAAAATTAAAAAAAAAAAAAAAAAAAAAACTTTGTGGTCGAAATTACCTGGTTAACTGCAGGTGGGATGGTGGCATTTTCGAGTAATTTAGCGATTTTTGCAGAGCTGAAATTGCTGATACCAATAGACTTAGCCAAACCCAGTCTACAACATTCTTCCATGGCTGCCCAAGTTTCTCTCACATCAAAATTCATCATCTCCGCATTATGAATACTACTATTTTTCGACATCCTTATCGGCCAATGTATCAGATACAGATCCACATACTCCAACCCCAATTTCCTGTAATTAATTCAAGATAAAACATTTTCTTTTTGTTTAATTTTTTTTTAAAAAAAAAGGAGATGTTTAAAACATATATATATATATATATATATATATATATATAAAGGTAAATTACGGCCACCGCTAAGTAAGGTCAAATTACGAAAAAACCCCTTCTGATTGGTAATTACAACCATCCATCAACTATAAATGTTTCTACACGTCAATTCTTGTGGTGTCAAATTTAGTAGAATCTTCTAGATTATATGAAATATTCTCAAGTTTTTACCTGTTTTTTTATCCCATTACAGTTTTTTTGTATTTTTATCCCATTACAGCTCCGCATTTTGAAGCAAGATGATCATAAGATGTGTTTTTTGGCTTGTATATTTCAGATTGTAGTTCTTCATTGTAGTTCTTCAGAAGCAGCATCTTGCACAAAACGAGTACAAACTAGAGAACATTCTAGGGAATTTAGAAGATTATGTTTAATATGCGTGGACGTGTAAGAAGATACATAGTTGAGGTAATTATCCAAACATGAGCGGTTTTTTCGTAATTTAACCTTAACTCAAGGGTGTTTATAATTTACCAAAAAAAAAATGGCAAAAACAAATCAGAAATTATGTGTGTTATTAAAGTACCGGAGTGTTTCCTGGAGGGCGGGCAGGACTAGGTCGCGATGCGCATCGGTGCACCATAGCTTGGAGGTGACGAACAGTTCGCCGCGGCTCTTGATCAGGCCGCCGCCCAACGCCTCCGCGGCGGCGCGGCCGACGACTTCTTCCGTGCCGTAGATCGCCGCCGTGTCGAAGTGGCGGTACCCGGCGGCGATGGCGCCGACGATGAGTTGTACCAGCTGCTCCGCCGGTACCGCGGAGGCGGCGGATGCCCCAGTCCCGAAGCCTATGGCCGGCATCTTGTGGCCGGAGTTCAATTCCACTTCTGGAACTTGTACTGTATCCATTAATTTCTCAAATTCGAAGTTGACTAAATTGAGATATCTGGGGGGTTTTGCACCTTAGCTTGTGTGTGTGTGTATATAATTATATATATATATATATATATATATATATATATATATATATATATATATATATATATATTGGCGGTCGTTCTTACAACAAGGCGAGTGAAGAAATTCTTGTAATCTTTTGTGATTTTTCGAGATGTTTTGCACCCCTGTACTATAACAACCGTCGCATTTACCCGCTAAACTATCAAATGCGACAAAACAAACCTTCAGATAACGATTGTTAGTCTTTCCGTCTATTAAACATGATGTGGCACGTTGACCAAAGTCCTTGATTTTCTTCAGACGATTTTACCCTTCAAATTAAAATAAAAATGGTGAAACAATTAACTGATTAAGACAAAAGCTTAATTATATAAAACTTAAAGTGTAAAATGCATAAATATTTGATAAAATTGTATAAAATCATACAAAAATTAATTTTTACTTCTGAATCGAAGAATTTATAAAATGTCATTTTAGACATCATTTGTTTCATCTTTATATTGTAATTTTCATCTTTTCCCCAAAAGTAATTATATTTAATTTGTTTAATCAAATTCCATAATATTTTGTTTCTAATTGTGGAGGGGAAATTGGAGTGAAGAAGAGAGTTATGTGCGAGATGGAAGAAAATGGTGAAGTTGCAGATAGTCGATCACATGCTTTAATAGGTAAGGGTAAAATTGTAATCGTACCATCCTACTTAACGGAGTTAAGACTTTAACTGCTCACTGTTAAAAGGAGGGGTCTTTTTGTCGCATTTGATAGTACAAGGGTAAATGCGACTATGGCTATAGTACATGGGTGCAAATTGTATTTAACCCTAATTATAATAAAGGCAGGTAAACGAGGTCTCATTTTTTTTTTTTATTTGGATTTTCTTGAGATGATTTAGTAATTATAGTAATAACATGTAAGGAAGTCATATCTATAATGTATATGTAATAATCTATGTAGCACGGACACGGAAACAACGACATGGGGAAACGGCATATCCTGAAAATGGGAATACGAGAACTTGAAGTAAATGCGTAAATATTAAAAGTATAGGGATATATTTATAAATATTATATATAAACATATATAAGTTTTTAGGACAAAATGCATTTCGCCCCCTAGAAATTTTTAGTTCTCGCACTTTCCGCCCTATAAATTAAGAAATGAGACCCTCCCCTTCCAAATTTGGTTATAGTTGCACTTTGCCCCCAAATGGAACTTTCCAGCGTATTTTTCACAGGTTTTTCATATCGATCTCCGTCAACTTGAAGTGCATTTTCGTCCTTTCACCAATTTGACTCAAATATTAATATCGTGAAACCCAGCTGCTGAGATGGGTTTTGCGTTTGCTGCTGCATCAATATCAATCCAAGCTACAACATGATGGATCTTTCGCCTTGGAAATCGAGGTTGCCGAAGTAATTGAACCTCACCATAAAATGCAGCAGCGCCTGCACTGTGTTTCCTCCGATCCGTCGCCGCCGTGGCGGAGTAATAAAATTTGCATAGTCCTAACTGTATTAATTTATAGAGGTTTAACTGTTTATTAGTAATTACACGTTTTACCTTTTATTCATTTTATTGGGTAAAATTTTATAATTTATGTTATATTCTTCTTTGCACAAAATTTTACTCCGCCCAAAATATTAGGCACACGTAATTCACACACAAAACGTACGATTGAAATTAAATATATATAAAAAAAAAAAAAATCGAGTTTTGTGTAAATGAAGTAGCGGTGTAAGTTTTTTTCCTAACACAATGGAGTTATATATATTGTGTTATGTGCATCCTTACTAAATTAATACGACGCTCTCACATTACACTTGTACATAGGGCTGGGACTGGGTTGGGTCGGTCGATTACCAACCAAAAAACCGACCCATCCGTCAACCATTTTTGCTCAAATTTGAAAACCATTGCCGATCCAACCTTTGTGGGTCGGTTGATGGTTGGCAACCGAATATTTGGTTCCGAAATGGATCGGTTAATGGTTTACATCCGCCACCTAGTTCACTTAAAAAAAATCAATTTTTGGAGTAAAAATATCCACATTTTGCGTAATGCCACGGTGCGATCATCATTTATCAGTTCAAAATAATTAATAACAATTTAACGAAAAAATAAAATTAGGAAATTCAAAGTAATTTCAAACATGCACAAGAGATTTAGTGGAGTTTTGTGGGCTTTTTGTTGAAGCTTAGGCATAAAGAAACTGGTTGAAGATTTAGGATAATTTTTTTTTCCTTTGTTGATTGTTTTAAAATTTAAAATACTAATTATTTTGATAATTTCAGTAACCACTTAAGAAAACACGGCATTTGTTTTCTATTTTAATAAAATTTTATTAGTATAGTTGGATAACCGATAATTATCGTTCAACCAACTTTTGATAATATTAGAAACCATCAACCGACCCATTATAGACGGGTTGGTTGAAATTTTCGACCCGATCCTATGGGTCGGTTAAAAATTGATTATCCGCTTAAAAATATGGTCGGTAATGGATCGGTTGGTGGATAAAAACCAATCCAGTCCCAACCCTACTTGTACATTATAATATTAAACAAAGTCCAATTATTTAATTACGAGACTTTACGGAAACAATTTTAGGCCTCGTTTGGCAGGAATAGTCAAGATAAGCTATTTCGTATATTTCAATAATCTTAATTAGATTTTTTTTTTCCCGGTTACTTATAACTATAACAAATATTTCGACGAGACAAATTTATTAAAAATGTTCCTCAATAATTATTCACGCAATTATTGCTCGTTCTTTTCAATTACGTTTCAAGACAACGAAAAAGTGAGTCAAAAGGGGGTAAATGGTGTTCAATGTCTTTGAAATTTCTTCACTCTTAGCCAAAGTCTTGTCGAACATCTTCTCAACGACCTGGTGGTGGTGGGGGTTTCCAGGCCCTGGAAAATGATGTTGGAGAACTTTGTTTCGACTGCTTCTATCAGGTTTTGCACGGTGAAGAAAGTGTTGGGCCCCACTGAACACCCGAAATCGACTATGCGGAACGCGGTGGAGGTACCGGAAAGGATGGTTTTCGGGTCGAGTTTTTCGATAACTGCCTCTCTGATCATTTTCTTCGCAATATCAGAAGCTTGTTTCTGCAAAATAAATAAAAATTCCCGTAAAATTGGCATTGATGATGAGCTATATATACAATCTTGATATATATATATATATATATATATATATATATATATATATATATATATATATATATAGAACATAAATTCTATATTAACTTTAAAAAAAAAAAAAAATAAAGACTTGGTAATTAGTTGTAGGGTTAATAGCATTTTGCCAACTGTACTTTGCCCGTTTTTGCGCTTTGCTACCTTAACTAGAAAAAGTTGCACGGGCACACCCAAACTCGTTTTTTTAACGCACGTAACCACCTAAGGGGAATATTCTGGCGAAGCTTCTCATTTTTCCGGCGCACGTGCGATGCACATGCTTAATTTGAGGATTTTTTAGTCTTTTAATCTGAAGATATCATGTGGGGTTATCTTCAAAAAATCCAAGCTTCAAAAAAATTAAGGGGTTATCTTCTCTCATCAATTTAATTAAATACCTTGTGAGGCGATCTTGGTCCTCAATTTGGAACTTTCCTCGATGTTCCTCCTGATCGTCATCAACATATTCAGTCCAATCGTTTCTCTTAGTCTTGTTCGTTAGGTCTTGGATTGGAGAACTGTTGGAGGTACGATTGTGTTCATCGGGGAGATGGAAGTGATTTTGATTAGAGAATTAGCGAGACATGTTCAAAAGTCCTTGACGAATTTGCGTACGTACATCTCTGGCCATGGATGATTGGGCAAAAACCTTCCTCACAAATTCCTCCTGGTTGCATACCACGCGACTCCACATGTTACTGCTCTTCTTCTACTGCTTCATCTGCACTGCATCCCACCTTTGTTTTCATTGTTGAATTTTCTCACACAGACACATATATACAGAGCAATTAATTTCAACATTTACTGTAAACCACAAAAACATACTGAGAACTAGAAAGAAAGAGAGAGAATTGCCTGCATAGTGGAGCATTCGAAGCATTGGAAAGGGTTTCTTTGAAAAATATTAATGGGGAGAAACTCCCATAGAAGAAGACCCACTCCCATGGGAAGAAGAAGACCCACAACTCTATTTCAATTAATTTAGAATTTGGGCAAGTTTCAAATGAAGTTCAATTGAGTCCTTAAAACTTTCAGTTTTACCCCACATGATATCTTCAGATTAAAAGACAAAAAAAAACCATGTATTTAGTCATGTGCATCGCGCGTGTGCCGGAATCTTTCAAGATTCGCCAGAATATTCCCCATAGGTGGTTATGTGGGGAAAATTACATTTTTCGTCCTCATACTTTACCCACTTTTTCAAAACTGTCCCTAAACATTTTGGAGTTACAATAGTAGTTCTTAATCATGCCATTTTTTGACAGAATTGGTCCGCCGTTAATTTTTGCAGTTAAGTTTGATGGAAAATGACATGTGCCTCTCACATGCCTTCAATTTACAACACTACATGAAAATGGACTTTTAACAACACGCATTGCGTTTTGTTAAAACAGATTTTTCATAATTAAAACTTGATTGAAATTCGAAATTATATAAATTTCTAAAAAACAAAATCGATATATATTGTTTTAAAATATTTTGAGAAATATTCTTTAAACAATTGAAACATTGTTTTAAAAAAATGAAATATTGCTTTCAAAATCAAGATTTTCGGATTTCAAATGAAAACATTGTTTCAAAATAAAATAAAAATTCGATCCGAATAGGTGGGATAAGAAACCTCCATTTCAATATTCATCCTAATTTAATAATGTAAAACTCGATCAATTGTTTCAAAATATTTTTAGAAGTATTGTCTAAAATAATTATATAATGTTTTAAAACCGGGATTTCTTGAATCCAAATGAAAATTATTGTTTTAAATAAAAGGGCAAATTGCACGTCACCCCCTAAAAAATTGCCGTTTTTGCA